TTTACAAAAACTGATTGACTCAATTTTTTTTAAGTATTGGTAAACATACATGAACAGGTATTGAACATGGTTTATCAATAACTAAATAGTCTTCATTATTAATTAATATATTAAATTTTTGATTAATCACAGGCACTTCATGTCGATGTGTAAAATGTTCAAGTTTATCACCATTTTTTATAACATAATTTTTTTCTATACATTGACCATTAATACGTACAAGGCCATTACGTATAATATCATCAAAATTTTGTTTTAATATAGCACGACGAAATTCATATTGAAAAACATCTTCAATAGTTCGTCCATACCAACGTTCTTTTGCATATGTTATCCATGTAAAAAAATATGGATAAACTTTACGTAATTTAGGTGATTGTGAATCAATATAATATATTGATTCACTTGTTAATGCTGAATCGATATAGTTTGTTGATTGACGAAATCCAACTAGTTTTGATTCTGCTTTTTTACGACGACGTTCTTTAAATCGAATACGTCTTTCTTCTTTTGTTTCTTGACGAAATTTTTCTTTTTTACTCGGTTCATTATCTGTCATAGTCTATGAGAAAAAAAAACGAGAATAAGAAAACTTATATATTAATTAACTGATAGATTATTTTTATTTTTTATTTAATAAAAAAATTGTATTTGTCCTGCTTGTTGATCCCATTCATCCATAACAACAGAATGATAAGCAATATTTGTTAATACAACAAAATATTCAAAAAGACAATACATTGAATATATATTTGGTTCACACATTTCATTATGTCGAAAATAAAAATAGAGTGAAATAAAAAAAGATCCGATATTAATAATAAACCATTTTAATCGTTTTGCACGTGTTTGACTTTCTTGATCACTTAAACGAAAATTTTTTGTTCGTGGCCAAAAATAATCAATTAATACAGTAAGAAGCATATGTAATAATGAACAAATCATAAAGCCAACAAATGAACTTTCATGTATCCATTTTATTTCATTTGATGAAATATATGTTAATAAAAGAAGAAATGTTAATTCAAGAAAATGTATTAAACTATTTGTTATTTGAACTAAAGGATAAAGTTCTGGTAAAAGCATATGATGACGATTTAATAAACGTCTGAATTGTAAATAACCAATTAAATAACGAGGAATACTATCTAAGGCAAAACACAAACGCCAAATGTAACGTTGAGGTTCACAATCCCCAATTGATGCTGATATAGATGGAAGAAAATTAAATACATTACAATGTGTACGAGTTGATTTTTCGAAATCTTTTAAGAGAGATAAACCAACACAAGAAAATAGTGCAAAACATGGTAATGAATAAGCAAACCATAAGAAATGACGCATAGATATATACGTATCTAAAGTAAAAATCCAATAAAATACATATTTAAACAAAAAGAACAATAAAGACAATTACTCAAAGACATTATTTGATGAATTTCTTTTTGTTTTGTATTATACTTGGATGGAATACGACGAATATCACAATCTGAAAATAGATATTTGTTCAATATACTTTGACAATTTTTAATCAACATATATATATTCGTAGACTACGAAGTGATACATCTAACCATCAATAACTATTTTTAATCGTTTTTGCGATGATTCTATTGGAAGGACAAAATTGATAAAATCATCTCAAAAAAATTTCAACAAATAATCAATATTATATAATTAATATTGTACTACATTGTTTACTGTAGGTAAAGCCTTCACTTTCCCACAGTGCAAACTAGGATATTAATTATACGGTGGTTAAAAAGATCTAGACTCATTATTTAATATGAGAAACAATCTAGATACTGTTCTTGTTCGTTGATTTAACCTTCTTGCTTGCTCGATACATTAACTGTATCAAACCAATAAAATATTTCAACATAAGAGGTCACTATTAGTGATCCCGTATGAATTCGAACGAAAATAAATAGAGCAAGCACAGAACACAGCATTAAATTGGAGAGGAGCATTATGGACCTATGACGTGTTTGTTTACTATTTTATTTACATTTTATTTTGTGTCGTATAATTATTGATATATTTTAGACAATAATGTCTACAATTGAATCTGAAAATCGACGTGAAATTGCTCGCTTACCAACTCGACCAGTAAATAAATTGAAAATAAATTTGACTTCCTAGTAAAAAAAATATTCTGAATTCTATGTAGATTTCACTTGAAGATCGTTATGATCCACCAGCAAATTTTTTAGAAATTGAAGTACTTAATCCTGAAACACACGGCTTTGCTGGAAAACGATATACTGATTATGAAGTTCGGATGAAAGTAATAACAAAATGACTTCGATAAATAAATATTTACCTTTTATTTCATAGACTAATTTACCTGTATTTCGTCTAAAAGAATGTACTGTACGTCGTCGTTATTCAGATTTTGAATGGTTACGTAAAGAACTTGAACGTGATAGTAAAGTCAGACACATCTGAATAATTTAACAAAAACAAAACTTTTTTTTTTAAATTTCTATTAGATTGTTGTTCCATCATTACCATCAAAAGCATGGAAACGACAAATGCCTGCATTTCTTCGTCGTGATGATGGTATTTTTGAAGATGATTTTATTGATGAACGACGTAAAGGACTTGAACAATTTATTAATAAGTATATTAATCTATTTCAAAAAATAAAATAAAATAAAATTTATTTATTTATTTTTCCTTTGTATAGAGTTGCTGGCCATCCCTTAGCTCAAAATGAACGTTCACTTCATGTTTTTCTTCAAGAACCAACTATTGATCATGATAAATATATTCCAGGCAAAGTTCGCAATTCATAAAATATAATTAATAATATAATCAAACAATAACAATGATCAATTGATGAGTGTATTTCAATTTAAATGAAATCTTATTGATGATCTATCGTATTTATGTATATACATAGAGTATTTTGAAAACAAAATAACAACATGTGATTCTTGTCTTCTGTTTTCTTATTTCATCTCCTTTCATTGGCATTTATTTGTCTATCATTCTCATGTGCATGTATCTTGCTTCTAATATTTGTATTTACCAATTGAATAGAAAAAAACAAACACAATGAAAAAATATATTTCATTCTTTGTTATTTTATTATGTTCTCTTCAGATGTCAGCAGGAGTACCGCTTACAGCGCGAACTTTAGCACATTCACATCAAAATGATCTTCAACGTATTGCAAATCCACGTCTGGAAGTTAATGAACGACGTCTTCGTCCCATTTATGATTACATGGAAATTCATAAGTATGCATTGTGAACTTGTCTAATATTCAAGAATTTTTTAAAGCGATTAAATAAGTCAGAACATATGAACAGATAAAAAATTTTCTTTTAAGGGTTTCACACCAATTTCGTAACTTTTCAAGGTTGTTACATTTGATAGAAACCACATTTTGAAGACAGAAAAACAAAAAAAAAAAATTTCGCCCCAATTTGATTTTAGTACCTATAGCAAAGTTTTGAGATCGATTAGTTATATCGTGTGAAAAGAAAGGAAGTATGAAAACTTTCATTATTTTGTTCAAATATTGATTTTGAGAAAAGTACAAGAAAAAATACACATTGGATTGAATAGCATTCCTCGATCATGAACCAAGATCTGTTTTTTTTTTGAATGAGTTCATCGATAAAGCGATGGACAAAAGTTTCGAGCAGTTGTATTTTAGAGTAGCTAAAATAATTCACTATAAAGATTAATGAAACTAATTAGGAATGGTTTTATTTAATAGATCAAGATGAGATGTCTAGATTCTCTTCATTTTGGTACTTCATCAAACTGCATTCAACGCATAGAAGACCCTATAAAATGAAGTTTGATGAAGGAAGGTCATGAAGAGAGTTGAGAAATTTCAATTTGACTCTATCCACTGAAACCGTTGCCAAAAAGCTTGAAATAGACACGAAAACACTGGTTTTTTTTTTAGGTAATCTTGGTTGTCCATAAAATCTGACTCAAGTAGTTTTATTAGAGATTTTAGATTCTTTCTAGCTATTATCATTAAGAAGAAAATTCAAAAATACAACTTTTGTAACCTAATGTTCAAAATGCAGTATGTTTACTTTATTAGTGTCTTTCAGATAGTTAGAAGCGTGGGTGTGAGTGAAGACAGGCCTTCACGAAAACGAAACGATGTATAGCTGTGTTTATCATTAATCAGCTTACAATGATTGATAATCTATATTTTTTACGATAAGGGTTCTCGAAACTCAGCTTATTCAGAATTTTTTAGGGATTAGTACGTAATAGAGTGCACTTCAAAAGATCTTCAGAAATAAAAAGCAAAAATTTTTTGGATCGAGAAAAGAGATTCTCCTTAAAAATAAGAAGCTAAAGTTTCTTGTCACCACATAGAAAGAATACTGATTTACCAATAGAACTTTGGTCTTCCTAATGCTAAATCTATTCTTTTTATATTTTGTAGTTATCGTAAAGCATTAACAGAAATTGATCGTTTATTAAAGAAACAGGCAAATTTTACTGCATGTAAAGCTCTTAAATGTCTTGTGTTAC